GTCTGACCCAGAAGGCAGTGGGGTGACGTAAGGTTTTGTTCGGGGACCCTGACCCTAGCCTCTGGCTCAAAAGCCTGACCCACGAGGCAGTGGCAGAGTGTAGGGTTTTGTGCGGGGACCGTGACCCGACCACCACGACAACGTGGCAGCTTTGGGAAATATTCGAAAGCAACTTTCTGAGCTCAAGAACGACGACTTCAGAAAGATGAATTCTGTCAGCACTGGCCTTTCAGGCATCAGTCTACCCAAAGTTGCGGAAAAATGCTGCGTCCAAGCGTTCCTAACCTATGTTTATTATCTAAATGCTAGGCATTCTCATCAAGGTTCTTAATTCAGTAAAAGATATTGTTATATGCCTATTGACACCTTCAAAAAACAGCTAATGTCGGAAATCATATGAACACTTCAGACAGTATTTTTAGGCAACATTGACGGACGTGTAAAATGACTGTCAATATATAAGCAAGCTATGACCGAAAATAAACCGTAATTTTTATCGACGCAAAATTTTGTGAGATTCTGAGCGCTATTTGTTCCATAGTTTGCAAGAGGTTGTATACGAAATGTAATAAATATGTATACAAATACACAACTGTAAAAATTATCAAGGGGAGGATAAAGTTAATACAAATCCGCAGGTCACTGGTAAGGCATATGAAGAACAGTGTTTTGAGGTCTCAGACGAATTTCACTGGTTTGACGACTGGCACAGTGGACTATCAGGGTCCGCCCACCAAACAACATTGAGCGGAATGTTTGCTCTGTAGTGTGGTCGTCCATTCCGAGGTCAGTCTCGTGATTCCAATTGGCGTTGCGATTATGCGGACATCACGGCAGAGCAAGTCGGGCCCAGGAGATGAGGCAAGAACACTTGTGGGTAAATATGTCAGTGGCACACGTGCTTGTATACCAGTGTCGAACGGGCGGTCTTTGGGGCAGGTGAAAAGTGAGTACAAGGAAGCAAAACAGGTGGAAATCAATAAATACACGGGTAGTAAACGGGGAAGCAATTGAATTTATGACATCAAGTTAAATACAATACTCCCACCATAATTTTCCCATGACCTAAAATGCAACAGATTGGAGAAATAGAGAAACAGTGGTCACGGGCGCCTCGAAGTCAGATCAAAACTATACTAAGGACTATGCCGTGGATAGGTAACCCTGCGCTTAAGCCGATCACCGAGCGAGCATTCACATGGATTCAGTTTACCTCCAGTCTGTTAAACTACCTATGTTGCACTAAATTACACTGAATGCGTTTAACTTATTCACCAGTTAATAGGAGTTCGATTCACGCTAGATGAGAAAGCCTTTCTAAAGCCATATGATGGTTTCAGGGTTAACCGTTCACTAAGCTAATCTGCTCATGGTCCGTTTATGGCTAAATTTCGCTAAATATGTAAATTAATTTGAACTACGAGGTTTACTTTGTGTCGGAACATCCGTTGTGCACTGAGCAGTGGGTCGAAAAGTTCAAATAGTCAAAGCGGCACTTGTGATTACTAATTTGTTTGTAGGAGTTTCCCACAGAACACAACTCTTTTGTCCAAAATTCGTAGTGCCTGATTGCAGACAGATGATTGAAAGCACGATCGAGTACACCGCTTAAGTACACGGCTTAAGAAGGTCCTTTACAGCTTTCAGCTATGTGGTTCACAATTTCACATAACTTTGTTGACTTTATAGTCCACTCTTCATCCAAGTACCTAGATGTCCCATATCAATGCTGGTAACCTGAAAAATAACGAATAGTCGCCGTGAAAAGTCGATACAAATTCCGTAAGATAGACTGATAGTTGGCCCGAGAAAGTTTCTGTTAATAATACTTCATGTATATCTAAACCAATAACACGTGAAATAACTTCGGTGAAAATCGGTATCCTGCTTCAAGCCACATTTCATCCTCATGACGGTTTTATTGGAAACACAGTCCCCTCCGGCGTTCGTGAATATTTAGTCCCCCAGTTTGTGTTTATTAGCTTCCCCACCAACAACTTCNGCCCCCCCCGGCGTTCGTGAATATTTAGTCCCCCAATTTGTGTTTATTAGCTTCCCCGCCAACAACTTCCCGAATGGAGAAACTTTTATTTAAAAAGGACTGACTCATTATTAAGCAGACACTTGCTTGTTTGTGATTTACTCCATGCTGAGCGCTCTATTCCAAGCATGTTTGGGTGAGTATCAAGCACACATTTGTCTATTCAACATGGACTACTACTTTTTCCCCGGTGCCAAAAAAAATTATTCTCAGTATTATTTAGATTAATCTCCCTGTGAAACCTGATCCGGCGCTACTCAAAAGACCTGTAAGTCTGTTGATAGTACGACAGGCTTTGAGCCAGTTGAAATGTAGCATGGAGCATACAGAGGACAAAAACGACTCCTTGGTGAGAGGACAAGACTCGGTGTCATTTCAAGGTGTAGAATTTTTTTTAAAAAAGTTAACCATACTTTTCGCACTGTCAATAATGTGTGACTCACCCCAGCAACAAATATTGCAACTCTACTAAATAATCATGGATCGTCAGCCCAAAATATAGATGTATTTATCTGGACAATTTGGAAGAAATGTTTCTCATCTCTTACATTAATTTGGAGCAGGTCTCATGCGCACACACTTCAATGCTTTATGACTGCCCGTCTATGTGAATTTGGGGAGCTTCATTGTTATCTATGCGGCTCGTATCACTGTATACGAACCGGCCTACCAACAGCTGTTAGATCTTCCTCTGCGTGCTATGTCAAAAATGGTTTGCATCAAGCTGGACTTGTTAGTGTGAGCCGACCTTCAAAGTGCGAAATCAACGGTCAAACTCACAGGGCTGTGTTCAGTGGTATCAGCAGGCCTGAGAAAGCTATTGTGCACGACAATGGAAACCGAAAAGTTGATCCCATTCATTTATTCCTACTCACGGAAGTGTAAAATTGTATTCACAAAACTCGGAAGTATCCGAAATAGTTCATCAGATAACGGTAAATAATTTGAACATTTCCATTACATATGAAGTCCCTGGTGGGCTAACCTAGACCTATTCCTTTACCTTTGAGATTAACTTCATGGTTGCGCTGTTTTCCTGATTTACATGAAGTAACTCGATCCACCGGATTTTAAGTGGTTTCAAGGCACCACTGTCGGTGAAGACTAAGAACTCTAGGATCCGCACACGCAACACACCCAACCTCAAAGTGTGACGTACTCAGATACGACTTACGGACTTCAAAATTTACACGGGTCCTTTGTGTGCTACATTTTTTATCTTTCTCAGCATAAAAGATAACTATTAATTCATCTTACACTAGATTGTAACTCCATGGCTTCGTACGTCCACCACTTCCGACACTAGGCGTGGACTAGGTCCACAAATCTCGAATCACATTCCCCATTTCTGCAATGGATATCTGCGCAATTTTGAGGAAGAAATGTTCAGTTCGCTGTGGTTGCCCTTTGGACACCCAAAGTACAAAGCTATGCTGCATACAAGTTAGTGTCACTATTCCTTATTTGACCAAGGATCTTCGATAGTAAGATAGTAGCCGTTGCTATGTCTGAAACGAGAGTTGTTTTGACATTGTTTTGTAACTGCCGGGTTGTAAAAAATTTCAGGATGCACCTGAGGAACCAATGGTCATAAACTTTGATTCTTCGGAAGTCACCCGTAAAAAGTAGCCAGGCTTCGAAACAGTTAGGAGAAGCCGAGTGAATTCACAGAGGCCTTCGCAAAGAGGCTAAATTTAGTCCCTTATTGAATCGCTATGAGTTATAGAAAGGCACACAATGTTGCATTACCGCGAAGGTCATTTAATCTTTTGTCTCGTTTTTTGAGTGAACTGGGAGCTAACTGATGTGATATCAACCCCCCTCCACTTTAAGTTTGTCTGTCTCAACCTACGCCAAATCGGGCCTTGGAGTTTTCCGTGGCCTTCAAGTTTGATCTTTCATTTGAAAGTGGCTATGGAAGCCACTCCAATGACCGCGATTAATAAAACAAAGCCGGTTGAATTTTACTAGCATTTGCAAAGTGTAAAGAGCTTTAAAGTTGTTGTGGACCACAGTTCCTTAATGCTTTCTTATTACCATGAACCCCGGTCTAGATAACCGCTTGATCGCCTGTTGCGCTTGGCCAAACCAGAAAAATCAACGAACGTGCGAGCCAGCTGCTCCCTTGACCACTATTGCGTACAAGTGGTCAAAAGTGATACTAACAATACAACTTTTCTGTCGAGAGTGAGTGAAAAACAGTTAGTGAAATCTGTCCCAACGAAAAACGGGCAGTTATGTAATCCCGTTACGTTCGGAGCTGGTTCTCCTAATAGAAGCAGTTAGAATTTCTGCGTTTGATCGCCATCCGATTTGGCGAGGCAGAAATTATGAGTCGTAGATTTATACGCACTTTACTCAGTGTCTGGCTGATAAAACTGATGAATGCAGAGCATTTCAAGCAAATACCGGATGTGATGGTGAATACTCACCTTACCAATTTGTTTCGATGGAATGAAGCACTTTTGTTAGCCATGCTAGTAAAATGTGTTTTGTTTAGTCTTTCATTATTACCCAGTTTAACCATTAGGAAAAACATCTGCTTAAGGTTTTTGGGCGCGCAATGACGACAGACTTACTGGTTGAAAAGCGTATTCGTGTTGTGCGTAACTAGACAAACTCCATTTTTGGATGTCGCTATTGTACCATCCGGCCACGATGGCAAGATACAAGAATAGCAGTTCCAAGCTGGGTCTAAAGCAGTTAGCATTTCCAATCTGTTTGGAGTATAGATATTTGAAGCTGAAACTAACAACGCACCTGCGAAACTGGAATAAACATTGAAGTTTGATTGCTGCCATTTCAAGGTTGATGCCTTCAATGTGAGCGAAAGCAGATATACATTTCACGGTTCCATGAAGAAGCATCGGCTTTGGGTGCGGCAGTGTATGAATCAGTCCGCCACAATGGGGTTGAGTACAAATCCAAATTAGAAAGTAGTTCTATCAATGACCAATAATTCTCACCCTTTTGATTTGACTGTTGTGTTTTGTATCGTGTGCGGGTTAGTAAGTTCCACAGCTTACTGAAATCGAAAGCAAGACCACGAAAACAATGGTCGTTTCGTTGGCACTGCCTTGGTGGCTGGCTACTTCCGATGTCTCGATGATTAAGGCTCTTGTTCCGCTTTATTATTTGATTTGGATTTTTGTGTAGCATACAAGTGAACAGATAGGGTAAAACATAGTCAGTGTCTCAATCAAAATCTTATTCTTTGTGCTTTCTAATGGTATGGCTTGTGCTCATGGTTGCTCGCCCCCCAAAGTCAGTTTATTTCCAAGCCTTAATCTCGCATTTCTCAGTTTTACGCAAGCATAGTGTAAACACTTTGGTACTCGCATTTCAACGGAAACGATGCTTCTTGAATGTTTGACTACAGTAAAACCCGAAGTCATGCAGTATTTTGAATCCGTAGCCTTGAGCGCGGGATCTGATGTCAGTCACTGGGGGAAAAGGAACAAAGTCCTCCGAAACTCTAGCAGCCACAGCACCAATCTTCTATATGATGTCTAGAGAATTTGTGTTTAGTTCGCTTTTTGGCAGGGGTTCGTTTGTTTTGGCAAATTTTCAAGGTTAAAAACCACCGCGAATTGGAAAATCTTTCGTTATTATCGGCTTTGGCTTCCTCCAGCGTGCGATGACTTGAAAGTTATGTGTTGTTATGTATTTTGTTGCAGACTCCCTTACCTATTGTGTCCTGATAATTTTTGTCATAAATAGCGTTTCGACTCGCCTAAATGCCACAAAGTGACATTTACTGTTGCTTGCATCTGGGATGCTGGCAAGGGCAGAGCACCAAAAGAATGTTGGATAAAAATAATATTAGGTTTATCGTACTCCTAAAGTGCGTTCCCGTCAACAAAGATGGTCATTAATGCTACACGTGGCACGAACACTCACGGATTTCGTGAGTTGTTGAGTGCACCGTGCTAATTATGGCGCAGGGTGACAACGAATAATTAAGATCTTTTAAAACGGTGTGGTGAACATTGACTCTATTCTATTCATTCTG